CGCGTTAGTTTCGAGTAAGCTTGAGGGCCTCATTGCTTAAGTGCTGCCGCTGCCTTGCCCTGGTCGCCCCCGCTTGGGATGGCCTGGTGCCGCCCGCGCCTGGGCTGTTCGTGCCGCGGTGGGCCGCGTCCGTTACTGCACCGCGTTTGGGCCACAGCGTGCAGGCCGGTAGGCCGCCTGCCTGGTTGGCTGTGCCGCGCGTGCCTGGGCCTCTTGGCCGCCCACGTGGGCCGCGCTGGCCGAAGCCGGCCCAGGTGCCCCTTTTCTTTTTCTAGTTTTGTTTAAAATGGCTGCAACTTGTGAAAGCAATATAAATCTGTGTAGTTGTTCAAAAATTGTGAAATCAGTTTTGTTAGTCGCCTAAAATCATGATCTAAATGCTAGTGTATTTTGTTCACATAGTTTGATAATATTCTTGGAAGCTATATAATTAATTTAAGATACTTAATATTGTAAAGATATAAATTTGTAGAAATTGTTGTGATAAATTGGTAATAATGTTGAATCTGAAATTTTTACAGTAGGCTTCTAGCAATATTAGGTACTCACATAATTTTTGTAGCTCCAGAATAATTAGTTTGCTAAATAGAAAATGATGTCCTATTACGAATAAAGATTAAATTGATAGAACAGTGCCATCGGTGCGTCCGGTCACTTTCAGTCCTCAGCGTCCGGTCGCTGCTGCGGATGCCTGCTGTTGCCAAGCCTCTTGATCGGAGCGTCCGGTCGCTATGTCGCCAGCGTCCGGTCAGTGCTCTGAAGCTCGTTTCTTTGCGATCTTGCGTCCGGCTTGGTTCCTATCTTCGTGCTTGGACTTTGCTTGATATCTTAGGTCTTCTCTTGTATTTCTAGGGTCTTGCTTATGGTGTTGATCGTGGGATCACCATGTCGCCTTCGTCTATGTCACGTCTGGCACCCTATTGAACTACAAAACAATTACTTACAAATTCATTAGTCCAATTTGGTTGTGTTGGTCATTAAACACCAAAATCCAAAGTAAATGGGCCTAGGGTCTATTTTCCTTACAAGTGCATAAGGAGTAGCAAGTGTGCATCTATCTTTCTCATTAGGCTTGTCTTGGTCAAGTGAGAGTTTGTGCTTGTTACTCTTGGTGATTGACATTACCTAGACGGCTTGGTGGTGATTGAAAGCTTGGTGATCATTCGGCAGAGTTTGTGGATGACCCAAGTCATGGTGTGAGCTGTTGTGGACGATTCACCGCGACGGAGTGTCAAAGAATCAGCCCGTAGATAGCACTTGATCCTTGCACGGATCAACGGGGAGCTACACCCTTACGCGGGTGCTCCAACGAAAACTAGTGGTGAGTGACGATTTTCCTATACCTCGAAAAAACATCGTCACGTTTCTCTCCCTCTCTTTACCTTGAGCATTTACATTTGAGCAATTCAATTCAGGTCTTTACATTCTTAGAATTGCTATGCTAGAGTAGGATTGGAAGGTAGGGTGCAAAACTTTTGTGCGGTAGAACAATAGAACCACTTTTAGGCACAAGAGGTGAAATGGGTCAAGTGTAGGGCTTATTGCAAAAAATTTAAAATTGGCCCAATTCCATCCCCTCTTGAGCATCTTGATCCTTTCACCTTGCATTTTGAAATTTGGAAAATTTTGAAACGACATCGGATGGAAAAACGACCAAAAATAAAGTTATAGTAATTGATGATATCTACAACTTTTCAGTTGAAACCTTTTTTTTTTACCAAAAACAAAGTTGTAGTGAGTGATGATATCTACAACTTTTCAGTTGAAACCTTTTTTTTGTTTGAGTTTGTTTAGGGTCCTAAATAATATTCATTTCTAAATCTAGTAAAGTGATTATTAATTAACATATTAGCACTTATCAAAACTAATCCTACCATCATAATTATTAATTACTAATACAACATACTAATAATCCTTAATTTATTTACTAATGGCAAAGATTAGAAGGCATGGATAAGCTGGTCCGCCATATTTTTTTCGGACCACGAAATCCAACATCTGAGTGAAATATTCTCTATCCATGGATTTTCTTATCCCAGTGATCCACGAACCAAACACACCCTATCTATCTATGGATGATCCCATCCCATCCATAGAGATCCAAGCAACCAAATACACCCTTAATCACACGTGACTTTGGGTAGAGTGACTACTAGGGGAGGTACCTGTGAGGTTTGAGGTTGCAGGATCGAATCATGCCGGCCCACGCGCACGTACATGACTTGTGCTATATGGGATGTAATTAATTGATAACAGCATGCTATCTAAATCAATCTACTACTGCCACGACTGAATGGATTGATTAATGGAGAGTGTGCAAATAGCCAAATACTTCCAATGACAAGACAACGTCATGAAATGAATCCATGCATGCTGCGTTCAGTAATAGTTGTATAAAACAAGAGGTGCTGGTTTTTAATTTCATGGCTTTGTAAACTTGAATCATTACTGCATTATTGAGAAATGCAGAGAACATGTGTATTACGAATTTACATGAGCCGCCGACCTGGTCCTTGGTCGTCGTTCCGCCGCCAACGGCCACCAGGGCCGGGCCGTCGTTGCCTAAGGCTAAGGGCTGCCAGGGGGGCTGCCACCCGTGGATGAGAAAGGGAGATGTGAGGTGGAGTGTGCGGCAAGTCGGCAACTGTGACGGGGAGGGGTGTGGCTGAGAGATGTGAGGAATGAGGGGAGGGGTCGTGTGAATTTAGGGTTGTCTAATGTTTCGGACCTTACTTAAATGATTCTTATTTTTAGAGGTTCACCTCTAATTGATTTTACGAGGTGGGTCTTTGCTAGTCGTCTCTATAAAGAATGAGTTAACCATCTCTGAAAATTCCTAAGCATTGTAGGAGATTGTTGAGATATTTTTTGTCGGTCTCTATTAATAAAATGGGCTGTCTCCTAAAATCTTTTTTGTTGTAGTGTTAGATTCTAACTGCAAGGAACTGAAAAAAATGATCCTGGAATGCAAAATATGCATATATCATCACAATGAGATCTGGCTGATTAGCCTAGAAATAAAATGGTCAGTAGGAACAAAAAAAAATTGAAAATGGAATAGCAGAAATGCTACTAGAAGTGAGTCAATAGAAATGCTAATGCAAGCAAATATTCTAATTTTGATGATGAATTGAAGAACACAGTCACAAATGATAACTAAGCTATCTCAATTCAGTAATAGCTCAACTAGATCAATTTAGTAGCAGCTAGCTAGTTCAACAAGCTATAGATTCAATACGCTGTTAATTATTCCTAGCTGTGTCACTGCATTTTCCATCCCTGATGCCTGCAGGCTAACATGCCGCGCTGGTTCCTAGCTGCCCAATACGGTCAGCTCATCAACATTTTCCAGGCAACGCATCAAATGGTACTATCTCACTTCAATTTGGTGGACTTTATTACTTTTCTGCACACAAGTCTTTGGTCTTAAGATCACCCAAGTCTTGCTCAACAATCCCCGTTTTTTCTTTCTCGAAGGAGTCTTGCATTGCTCAATCTTTAGCTACTAGTACTCTCGCGTGTTTCCTTTAGTTTTACAGCTACTTGATCTCTGCTGATGTATATAGTACACACATCTCTTTCTTCACATCGCTTTCGAAGTACGTATGTAGCGATCGCAATCGACTATGTATAATTAATTACCTTTGTACCTGTTGTCAATGGCAGTTGAGGATGGGAGAGCCACAGGACCAGTTTGAAGTAGTATTTATTACAATGCATGCATGCTTTGTATACTTGTCAACCTCGAGAGAGGCATGCGAAGCAAGTTGGTGATTTTTATGTGTTGCATCGCTGGACGCTATCGTGGCAACAATCAAATGCCAAATCAGTTGATGCGATTTGTCTATGTGCAGTGGAATTTTTGTATATATATCTTACTACTGTCTGTCCAAAATAAACTAAATTCTCGAATTATCCTAAGCCAAACTGTTTTAAGTTTGACTAAATTTATAAAAAAAATACAAAATTAGTATCACTAGATACATCTTGGAAATATATTGTCATAATTTACTTATTTGGTGCCATAGACAATATTACTCTTTCTTATAAAGTTGATCAACCTTAAGATAATTTGACTTTAATTAGGTGATTCTAAGAGAACTGATTTATTTTTGGGACTGAGGTCCCACTCTGTAGGAAATTTCCTAGTGGTGTATCACTGCTGACTTGTGGTGGCCCCCTCCTTTTTTCTTCTTTAGTATAAGGACTGACTTGTACTCCATATATTCCTGTGGTACGTAGGTACTACATTGCCACTTTAATAGTTGACCAATACTTTAATAATGTACGATATGTAAATGTCACTTTAATTGATGTAATGTACTACGTGCGTCATTGCTGTATACCAACTACATGGTTCTGGACGTGCTAAGGAACAGTCGCCAAAAAAGAAAAGAGAGAGACTACAGGGTCCAGGAAACCCAACATAAATGGAAGCAAGCTTTGTATCACTCCGTTTTGTACGTAGCCACGATGCGCTAGGGGAACTATAAGGTTTAGACTGAACAATTACATGGAGCATGCATGGATTAACAGTTGGTCAATGTTCAAAGTGGCTGCTGGCTACTACTGCAGGTAGGAACGTAGAACTAAAAAAAAAATCACTGCGGTCGCTATCGCTATACAGTGGTATGAACCTGCTGACTGGGCCGGAGACGACAATCAGACAAAGGCTCCATCCGGCTGCTATAAGCCGGCTTATCAGCCATGGTATAATATTTTTTTCTTTTAATAAATTAGCTGTATAAATCAGCATAAGTAGCTTATAGACGAGCCGAACGGAGCCAAAGATGCGAACGAGAGACGACGCGCGCACGCTGCTGCGCTGCTAGTCAAACTTTCAACAGCTCTGTTACCGATCGATCCGCATATGTTTCTTCTGTGTGTCCACGTGTGCATGATGGTGATATATTGCTGATACTTTGATCCTTAGCTTAAAGACCATTTGTTTCCGGGTCATTCATTTGCTTCTCATCTCAGAGAACGAACGAGCGAGCGAAATGGCGGCCAGCAGGTGCAGCACCGGCGGCGGCAGCCATGGTGGGCAACTCCTTTGGCTGCTGCTCGCGTGCTCGTGGGTGGCAGCGACGAGAGGCCAGCAAACAGCACGAACTGATCCAGCCGAAGGTACGTACGCACGTATAAGTTTGCATGTATAAGTGTTTACATGTATATGTTTTAATTTCTTGTGTAAGTGTGATACTACATGTTTACATGTATATGTTTTAATTTCTTTGGGCGCAAAATTTTCATCTGTGCACAAGCATATGCTACATGTATTATATTTCCGTGTGCGTGCAATTGTGCAGTGGTGGCACTGAACACGATCCTGGGGCGATGGGGGCTGAAGGCGTCGCCGGCGTGGAACATCAGCGGCGAGCCCTGCAGCGGGGTCGCCGTCGACACCACCGACGTCGACAACAACCCCAACATCAACCCGGCCATCAAGTGCGACTGCACCTACAACAACGCCACCGTTTGCCACATCACCAAACTGTAGGTTCCTCACTTCTGATCCTCTCCCTCCCAGAGCGCCGTTGCGTTGATCTGCCACCGCAGCTCGATCACCATCTGCTCGACGAAACGCCCGAGCGGGGCTTGATTATTACCTCTCGAAGCTGTCAAGATTATATTTCCCATATGTTTGGATAGAAAAGCATGCACAAAAGGAGTAGTTTTTACTCCTTTTATTTCACCCTATGAGATGAGGTCTTGTTTTGACATGTTCTTTGCTTCTGCAGGAAAGTGTATGCCTTGAATGTTGTCGGTCAGATACCAGCCGAGCTGCAGAACCTCACCTATCTCAATAACCTGTATGGCATCTGACTAATATATATTCTCAAAGTTTATTTTTTCCTGAATAAATCACTCTCAACAATTATTCACAATAATGCCCTATTTGCCTGCAAAGAATCAGTAACCATTAGTATTCTTTATCTGGCTAATTGGTTTGATGATGTTTCAGGAACCTGATGCAGAATTATTTGATCGGTCCCGTCCCATCATTCATTGGGAAATTTCCCATGCAGTACTTGTAAGAATTATATTTCAAATTTTTGATTGTGCCTCATTTACTAGCTACCACTTAATTTGTCTTAACCACATTTTTGTTTCTGAAAACATTGCAAGATCTCTAGCTATCAATCCGCTATCTGGAACACTTCCAAAGGAGCTTGGGAACCTTACCAATCTTATCTCATTGTAAGAGTTCCCTGATTATTGTATACTTTAGCTACTAAGTTCTACATAAAACTTGCTAACCTTGCGTGGCTACTCGACATTGGACTATATTTAGTACTAGGTGAAATAAAGCACATCTTGAAATAATAAATATTGGCACATCAACATCGTTTCCCCCTTGTATTTGGTGTTTCAAATGTTTCAGATTGTTCATCAAACAAAAAAAAGTATGACTTTTTTTCTGTTCATAGCATCACATACATGTGCGTAATCGCATTCTGAACTACTCACTTTTTCTTTCAGGGGCATTAGTTTGAACAATTTTACTGGTGAACTTCCTTCTGAACTGGGCAACTTGACCAAACTGGAGCAAATGTAAAATGCATCTTTTGTATTGCCAAACTTCACTTCTGAATGAACTAAAAGTTTTGTCAACTGTCTTTGCAGATACATTGACAGCTCTGGCTTCAGCGGTCCATTCCCTTCGACATTCTCAAAGCTTAAGAACTTGAGGATCCTGTATGCTCAATACTGCAGCAACAAGTTATGTCCGATGTAATATCACACTCTTAGTGTAATATATTTTCTTGTGCGTGCAGCTGGGCATCGGACAATGATTTCACAGGAAAAATACCTGATTTCATCGGGAGCCTGACTCATTTGGAAGTTCTGTAAGACTACTATTAATTGCTTCGCATGATCATTTAGTACATTTTTTTTATGAACCAAGGCTTCCTGGAAACTGTGCAATAGGACTTTGTGCATATGCTCTTTGCTTATTCATAAGCACAATAATTCTTTTCACTTTTCACTCCTAATAGAAATGTAACACATTTTCATGCGATCAGATCAAACTGGCTGATAAAAAAGTCATGATACTTCATGCTTAACGTTTATTATGTTCAAATGACAAATAATCTTTCAGCAGCCGGCTTATTAGGAACACAAATTTATGAACTTGTAGGAGGTTCCAAGGAAATTCTTTTGAAGGCCCAATCCCAAAAAGTATATCCAATCTAACCAAATTGACGGACTTGTAAGTACTTCATTCATTGTTGCCCCTGTTCCTTTGATAGTTGACAAGGTCAATCTTGTCGCGGAAACTGATTTGTTAGACATCTTCATGTGCAGACGGATTGGTGATATTGTAAATGGGAGCTCTTCATTGTCCTTTATCAGTAACTTGACATCTTTGAATGTCCTGTATGCGACATACTTTTCACTGTAAATGTACAGTTTCATATCTTGGCAGTGTAGATGGTACTGACATTGGTTATCTTTCTACAGGATATTGAGGAACTGCAGGATATCTGATACTCTTGCAACAGCAAATTTTTCTAATCTAGTGGGATTGACCTTATTGTAAGTATTTCATTATATGCAATTGTACAAATGTCTCTTGCTGTTGCTTTTCTTTCACAAAATTTCAATTGGAGCATCTTTTCAAGTAACATTTTTGTCTCATGGCACAGGGACTTGAGCTTTAACAATCTCACAGGCCAAATTCCACAATCCATACTGAATTTGGACAAGCTTGGATTCTTGTAAGGGATTCTTTTAAGAGATCATCTTCATAATACAACTGAACTCTTAAGCTGATGCTTGTATGTTTTGCTTGTCACAAACATTAACAAATTCAGGTTTCTCGGAAACAATAGCCTTTCTGGAAGCCTGCCTGATGTTAAAAGCCCTTCACTAAACAATTTGTATGTCAGGAAATTTCAGTGTTGTCTAACATAATTTTATATTTTTTAATTACTGAAACTGTGTATTTATTTCATCTGTAATAATTTTTTTTTTATTTTTTCAGAGATTTTTCTTACAACCAGCTCTCCGGTAGCTTCCCTTCTTGGGCTATCCAGAATAATTTGCAATTGTAAGTTGAAAGTACAATTTTTTCCTTGAAGGGCAAAAATTTAGATATGCTCAAGGTTGTATCACTCTGTTGTTTGACAAGTTGTTTTTTTTTAAAAAAAAAAGGAATTTGGTGGCAAACAACTTCATTCTTGGTAGCAGCAACAACAGGTACTTTAAAATTTAGTTTTGCCTTCCGAGAGTTTTTTTAGTTGAGAGCGTTAAACTTCTTATTTTCTTCAAATGTGCAGCATTCTACCTTCAGGCCTAAACTGTCTCCAGCAAGATATTCCTTGTTTCCGTGGTTCTCCGGAATGTATGTTTCTCACTCTTTACCATCTTCAGCAGTTGACACGGTCTCAGGGATTGCAATATAGTTAATATATATACTTCTTAATTGCAGATTCCTCCTTTGCGGTAGACTGTGGAAGTAACAGATCTATGAGGGGCTCAGATAATACTTTTTATGAAATCGATCCTACAAATATTGGAGCTGCATCATATTATGTTACTGGTCAAACAAGATGGGGTGTTAGCAATGTAGGAAAATTTAATGAGGCCCCAAATGGAAGTTACATAATATATAGTTCCCAGCAGTTTCAGAATGCACTGGATTCAGAACTGTTCCAAACAGCAAGGATGTCACCATCATCACTGCGGTACTATGGCATTGGACTTGAGAATGGAAATTACACTGTTGAGCTTCAGTTTGCAGAGTTTGCTTATCCAGAGTCACCCACCTGGCAAAGTACTGGAAGGAGAGTTTTTGACATATACATCCAGGTGCATATCGCCATATCCCATGCATCATAGATCAGGAGTTTTGATGTTTCCTAGACAAAAGACTTTGTTATCTTACTTGACATTTGTACAGGGTGGTCTGAAAGAAAAGAACTTTGACATAAGGAAGACGGCTGGTGGAAAATCTTATGTTGCAGTGTATAAGAAATACAATGCAACTGTGTCCAAAAACTTCCTTGAGATCCATCTGTTCTGGGCAGGCAAGGGCACTTGTTGCATTCCAACCCAAGGGTACTATGGACCCATGATCTCAGCATTAAGTGTGACACCAAGTACTGTCTAACCCAATCTATGAATAATAGCTTGAAATAAGTATCCTATTGGATGCTAATATATCAAACGTCCCTTTTTCAGATTTTACTCCTACTGTGCGAAATGGTGTTCCCAAAAAGAAAAGCAAAGCAGGGGCAATTGCTGGAATAGTAATTGGTGCTTCTGTTTTAGGACTAGCCGCCTTAGCTGGAATCTTTATGCTGGTACAGAAGAGAAGAAGAATAGCACAGCAACAAGAAGGTATCAAATACATTTATACAGTAATTTAGACATCGAATCTTACAATTGACTGATTCTGATTCTTTCTCAATTGGAATGAAACAAAATAAACAGAGCTTTACAACATGGTCGGAAGACCAAACGTCTTCAGTAATGCTGAACTAAAGTTAGCTACAGATAACTTCAGTTCTCAAAATATTCTTGGAGAAGGCGGCTATGGACCAGTTTATAAGGTTACTCCCTCACAATTTACTCTTCCAAATGCAGCTTTCTAATAAATTTTTGTAGAAGTTGGTAACGAATGCAGCTTTCTAGAAACATATATGGACAATCATATATATATATTACTTTTTTCTTTTTGCAGGGTAAGCTACCTGATGGGCGGATAATAGCTGTGAAGCAACTTTCTCAAACATCTCATCAGGGGAAAAGCCAGTTCGTAACAGAAGTGGCCACAATTTCTGCTGTGCAACACCGCAATCTTGTGAAGCTATTTGGTTGTTGCATTGACAGTAACACCCCCTGCTGGTCTATGAGTATCATGAGAATGGAAGCCTTGATCGAGCACTCTTTGGTGTGCTCACTTTGACTCATCCCCATCACTACACGCCTTTAACCGCATTTGTAGTTATAATAAAAACAACATTTCTCAAAGATTTTGTTTTTGAATGTACAGGTGACAGTGGCTTGAGCCTTGACTGGCCAACACGCTCTGAGATCATTTTAGGTATTGCAAGAGGCCTAACCTATCTTCATGAGGAGTCCAGCGTGCGCATCGTGCATAGGGACATCAAGGCCAGCAATGTTTTACTTGACACCGACCTCACACCCAAGATCTCCGATTTCGGGCTTGCCAAGCTCTTTGATGAGAAGAACACTCATGTCAGCACTAAAATTGCAGGCACATTGTAAGTGCATTTCACCTTTGCCCGTGCTGTGAATGTAGCTCTGAATCCTGATCTGACTAATTGAATCTCCGTATCCGTTGTCAAGTGGATACCTGGCGCCTGAGTATGCCATGAGAGGCCATCTGACTGAAAAGGCCGACGTTTTTGCCTTCAGGGGTGGTGGCATTGGAGACTGTCGCAGGTCGATCAAACACTGACAGTTCCTTGGAGGAAGACAGGATCTATCTCTTTGAGTGGGTAAGCTGATCAAATATCCTTAAGCCCAAAGAAAACACCTCGGTTCCTTCTTGTAAACCTACTGATCGCTGAAGCATTCGACGATTTTGCAGGCCTGGGAGCTGTACGAAAGGGACCAAGCACTCGGCATCTTGGACGCAAGGATCCAAGAATTCGACAGCGAAGAGGCACTGAGAGTCATCAGTGTCGCCCTCCTCTGCACGGGGTTCGCCTCACCAGCGGCCACCGATGTCGCGGGTCGTGAAAATGCTCACCGGAGACATCGAGGTGACCGAGGTGGTGACCAAGCCAAGCTACATCACTGAGTGGCAGCGCAGGGGTGGGAACACCAGCTACGTTACTAGCGACTACTCTGGCGACACGACCGGGAGTTCAGCATGCAGATGGAGACTATCGCGCCTCTCACCCCGTCGCCGGCGATGACTGGAATCATCGAGGACGGACGGTGATTACACAGGCTGCTGCTGGATTAATTTGATCTGAACGGGAAATCTTTGAACATAGTTGAACCATGTTTGTGTGGTATATGTGGAAGACAAGTCGATTTGCTAGATTAGCATGTTAAGAAAAAACAAAACTTGACCTGGTATATATTAGTATTTTGTTTGAATGAATGCAGAGCTCTGCCCCTTTTTAAAAAAAAAAACTATTTTGTTTCATTCATAAAACTAACAATACGCTGAGAATACTCTGCACCTTATATATAATGCAATGCTCTTCTTGTATGCTGGTTGGGCGTGTGCAATGCTAGTATTGTTTGGTTGATGGAAATCTAGTAATCTACGCACATATTTAACAACAATAGTTTATGGATATATATTGAGACGAGGGCAGATAGTTGTTTGTTGAGTGATTTTCAATCCCACAGCCGTAAACTTTTCATGTATGTTTTTATCTTAAAATTAGCAAATGCCCGTACGATTCATGTATGTTTTATCTTAAAATTAGCAAATGCCCGTACGATGCAACAACGGGGCCAAAAAATACTATCAAATATTAATGAAAAACAAACATTAAATAAATATTCATTTTTCCCTTTCTATAAAATTTGAAAGCTATAATTTATTTTATAGTCACCATTACATCTATAATATAATTTAACATTCGCAATAATATAGCATGGCCTATTAAGTTTGTATCAAATTAAAAATACAACCTTGATATATCTTTTTTCTCCTATTGTAAGACACAGATTTGTAACTTTAATTTTTCATACTAACCCTGTGTTGGTGACATAGATATTAAGTTCTATGGCTTATTTTGAGGATCCATATCCATATCTCTATAAAGCTAATTCACATTAAGGGCCCTTTGGATTACAGGATTGGCAAATGAATTTTGTAGGATTCAACTTTCTAAAGGAAATTTTCCTGAACATC